CCGGGCTGGGGATTTGAACCCGCCACCTTAGGTGTATGTGGCTGGCGCCTTAGCCGCTTGAGCCACAGGCGCCGAGCCCGATTTTCTTTTCTTAAGAGACAGAGTCTCAGTATGTTCCTGAGGCTGGAATTCCTGGGCTTAAGTGATCCTCCTGCCTCAGCCTTCTAAATAGCTGAGAAGTGGGTGCATAGTACTTAATACATGGATTATTGTTTTTTTCCTTGAGACAGAGTAGGTGTCTCAGTGCTATGGGTGCGTAGCATTTAATACACGGATAATTGTTTTTTTCCTTGAGACAGAGCCTCACTTTGTCACCCTCAGTAGAGTGCTGTGACATCATAGCTCACAGCAACCTCAAACTCTTGGGCTCAAGTGATTCTCTTGCCTCAGCCTCCTGAGTAGTAGCTGGGACTACAGGAGCCTGCCACAATGCCTGCCTAATTTTTTAGAGATGGGGTCTTGCTTAACCCATTAACTCAGGCAATCCACCTGGTGTGAGTCACCTTGCCCAGCCTAATTTTTGTTTATTTTTTTTGTAGAGACAAGGTCTGGTTATGCTGGCCAGGCTGGTTTTGAATTCTTGGCCTGAAGTGGTCCTCCTGCCTAGGCCTCTTCAAGTGCTGAGATTTCAGGCGTGAGCCACCATACTTGACTTTAATTTTTGATAAAGATGGTATGGGAATGTAAAGATTAATTTGGGGAGAATGGACATGTTAACAATATTGAACCTTCTGGCCAGGCAAGGTAGGACTACAGGCATCTGCCATAACGCCCAGCTATTTTTCTGTTGTAGTTTGGTTGGGGCTGGGTTTGAACCCGCCACCCTCAGTATATGAGGCTAGCACCCTACCCATTGAGCCACAGGTGCTGTCCAAGGCCTTACCTTTTTGTAGATTTATTTATAGATATCTGATCTTTTTGATGTTTTAATTATATACAGCTTTTGTAATAAATGGTCAAAAAAGTGAGTATGAAAAAGAAAGCATGAAAAATACATGTAAGTTTAAGGAGCAGAATATAAATTCATTGTAGAGTTATGCTTCTATTTACATATGGAACACATTTTTTTTTTTTTTTTTGAGACAGAGTCTTACGCTGTCACCCTGGGTAGGATGCTGGGGCGTCACAGCTCACAGCAACCTCCAACTCCTGGGCTTAAGTGATTCTCTTGCCTCAGCTTCCCAAGTAGCTGGGATTACAAGTGCCTGCCACAATGCCGGGCTATTTTTTGGTTGTAGTTGTCATTGTTGTTTATTGGTGGGCCTTGGCTGGATTTGAACTTACAAGCTCCAGTATGGGTTGAGCTACAGGCATGGAGCCAATACTTGAATAAATTATAGGGCAGTAGAACTGTTTGATTTGTTATAATAGTGATTAGTGCTATTATAATAGCAATAGGAACAAAATATTAAAGTTCAGTTATTAGTTGGGCGCAGTGGCTCACGCCTGTAATCCTAGCACTCTGAGATGGATTGCCTGAGCTTACAGGTTCGAGACTAGTCTGAACCAGAGTGAGACCCATTTCTAAAAATAACTGGGTATTGTGGCAGGCACCTATAGTCCCAGCTACTTGGGAGGCTGAGTCAAGAGAATTGCTTGAGCCCAAGAATTAGAGGCTGCTGTGAACTATGTCACCCTGGCACTCTACCAAATTTGACAAAGTGCTTTTGTCTCAAAACAAAACAAAACAAAACAAAAACCCAAAAACAAAGTGCAGTTATTTGTTGCTGTGTTCTTTTCTCTTTTTTTCTAGGAAAATCTTTTGTCTTATTTTGCTTAACTATTGAACTGTTGTGCTAAATAGCAAAAAGGTCAAAATGTAAATTTGAAGAAACCCAATGAAGGCTATAAATGACTTGACATAAGAAAATAGATC